AATTTGATTTTTTTTTTCTTTTGAAGGTATAAAGAGTTATATCTTAAACCTTCATCCACTTAAAAGGAAACTATTTCTAATGATTTTTATTTATTTTGAAGGATTTTTTTTTTATTTTGAATTTAAGTAGAAGATTTTTAAAATTTAAGAGTTGGTAAGTTAAGTATATTATTTTTAAGGTTTTTTAAAATTTAAGAGGTTAGGACATGACTATCTCTTTTGTAGAACTCATTTTTTTGTGAGGTTTAGTTTTTCTTAAAACTTAGGATCTAGCCATAGGATTTCCCTATTGGCTATCCAAGAAGACTAATGATGCGACCCACCTCACTTAGAAATTGAAGCCACCACTCGACTCTTTTGTGTAGTCTCACATGGATGGTCTCAAATCCTTAGCTCTTGGTTGAGATGACTCAACCTAACATTTTGAAGCTCAAAATGAATTCCTTTAGGAATATGATGCCTTAAAAAAACCCTAGGAGCCTTGGCCATTCACACCCAACTACCTCACACTCCTCACCTACCATAGTCTCCCATACACCTTTTGTTTGCATACCTTACCAATACACTAATAGGACTTACCAAAACTCTCAAAAATTCCCAAAATTTCTCCAATCTTTTCAAATTTCCCAAATCACTCAATTCCCCACTTCAAACACACCAAAACATCCAAAATTGTTAAAACCCCCAAATTTACTAAATTATCCAAACTTTCACCAAAATTGCTAAAATTGCCCAATTTACCTCAAATCAACCCCAATAAAGCCACCAAACCCACCCAAAATCCCAAAATCAAATTCAATTTCCCCCAATTTCAAACCGAAGCTCAAAGCTATCCAATTTCAGATCCAAGACCACCCAAGTTCACCCTCATGTAAAATCCAAATTCACCAAGCTTAAGTCCTAAGATAAATTCAACATCTCATGAGGTCCACCATGATTTAATTATCAATACCTATCAATATCATTCTCAAGGTCCACCAAACCAAGTCCATTTCTCAATTCTCTTTAAAATTAAAAGCCCACTCCTTCATGGCATAAAATCCCTCATCACCCATTTAATCAAACCAAATCATAGGACCTATGAAAGCACAATTTTATCCATGGCATGCATGATCAATTTTAGCCATTTAATCAATATCATTTCCATGGCATGCATGATCAATTTTATCCATATTTAGACTCATGAAAACACCTCACAAACATGTTTAAAATTCTTAAATACCTTCCCTAGGAAAAGTGCCTAAGCCATATGCAAGCCATGAAGCCTCCTTCAAGCCCACATGAGCCATGTCATGTCACCCTCCCCTAAGTGGCTTCATGCTTCCATTTACTAACCCTTCTCATGATTCTCCTAAACCCATGATTAAGCCCTAATCTCTTGGATGGGGACTTGACCGCACTGATCCTCCTGACCTCTACCAGCCATAGCCATCTTAGGAGTGACCCAAACCAATTTTCATGAACTTAAACCCAAGTTAGATCAAAATTGACCCAAACTCATTTACGTTTTGATTAATACCCTTATCCATGCTTGAACACAATTGGCTCCGCAACGTACCACCACTAACTTACCACAGCCAGCAAATGACCTCACACATGTTGGTCGACCACCCTAGCCACTTGAAACAACAAACCCGAGAGCCACCCATGGGGGAAAACTCAAATTAAGCCCATCCAATGTCGCTCGCCCCCATTGGACACTTACCCATGTTTCCCCTTCACCTAAGCCCCACCTTAGACCCTCTGGCTTGGCCAATTGAAGCCACTAAACACACTCTAATCATTCAGATTGATTTTAAAAACTAGTGTTATACCCTTTTTCTACACTAAAATTTTCAAGTGGAAAAAAATATTTCTCAAGTTTTATAGAATTATGAACTAGGCAGATGCCTTTGTTACCCCAATGGAAAAGTCCACATTATATTCAACCTCTCAAAACCAAACCTATTCTTCATAGATAGCTTGGGAAGATTTCAAATGCCGATTGACCCTAATAAATAGATTCAATCTCAAGCTATACCAAAAGAGAGAGATGTGTGTGCGTGTGTGTGTGCATGTGTCAGAGAGAGAGAGAGAGAGAGAGAGTAGTGTTGCAAAAAGATAAGCTTTAGGATTTTATTGATTGAATAATTAAAGTATAGGAATGGCTTGACATAATTTGCTTATTTTGGATTCCAAGTTGTACACATATTATAAGTTTGGGTTGTTATTTATGAATAATCAAAAACTCAATCAAAATTTTTTCTTGTTTACTATTTTTATATGAAAAATTGATTACTCATTTAATTTTTTTTAGTTTTTTTTTAAATTAATATAAATAAGCCAATTACACGCCCTTTAAAACATTTAACCAAATAAAATATCAATACATATTTATGAAAGTTTGACTTAAGCTCGAATTGAAAATGAACAGCTCATGATCGACGAATCCAGGTTGAATACATATCATACTCGTCTCGACTCGACTCGACTCGACTCGACTGACTCAGTTATAGCCCTAACTACATACATATTTGGTCAATATGAAATACAAGTCACTTTGGTGGTGCCCCAACATACATATGAATGGGTTAAAATAATTTGAAAATGTAAAATACTTCTTGTTGCATTTTAACCCAAAGAATCGTACAAAGGAATAAAAAAAGTGACGTAAAACAAAATATTAAGGCATGTTTCAAACATGCGGATGCGGACGATTTAAGCAGGCAATGTGATTTTAAACAATAATGTTTGCTAATAATATACAATTAACATTGTACAAAATGTTAAAACTTGTAGGGACCTCATCACTCCATCTCTCCCTATTATAAATTGAAAGCATAATCAATGAACTTTGCAATTACAATCTTCTTCGTCTACATATGGATACTGCTCGCCAATCTGCAGATTTCCACAAAATCCACCAATCTGTTTGGGGAGATTATTTCATCAACTATTCACCTCTACAATCGAGAACTAGTCTGGTAATTACTCAAGGAGTATATGTTTTTCTATTCAAGGAATAGATTTAAATGTTAACATGACATCAAAATATGTTGTTATGCTAATGACCATTTTCATGACAAATTTTATATATGTCAAGGTGCTGTTAAATTTGCTTCTATAACTCTTACAATTATTTATTTTATTTTTTATTTTATTGCTTCTATAGCATATGTTGTATGTAATATTTAAATATAGATTTTTTTTATGATTAAAATGTTTCTTATATATATGAATAGAGTATTTATATTAACATAAAAATATGATTGAGTTTGTAACGCTCCGTAATCATCTCACAATGGATGCTGTTGAACCCAAACTGACCCAAACCACAACTTATTTTCTTACTAATTTGAACAAATATGATCGAATATTAACAAAATTATAATTGATAACTTACTAATGCTTGAGTAATGCTTGTGATTTTTTAACAAAAAAGCAGGCATGTCAAAAACAAAAGAATGAAAAGCTTCGGGTTGAGATAAGGAAGATTCTCCTAGATACCATTGATCCATTACAATCCCTTGAACTAATTGACTCAATCGAACGTTTTGGAGTGGCCTATCATTTTCAAAAAGAAATCAATGACATATTGTGTAGAGTTCATAAGAGGAACATTGGTGATGATGATGATGATTTGTACGCAGTTGCACTTCGTTTTCGATTATTAAGACAACACAAATATCAAATCACTTCTGGTACGTTAGCTCTAAAATATCACAAGCTCAATAACTTTAATTGAGCACATTGCTTCTCATATCATGCAACCTTAATGTAATTACAAAACATTTTTCTCTTTGTTTTTTGAAGATGTATTTATCAAGTTCTTGGATGATAAAGGAGAGTTCAAAGCACATTTATGTAATGATGTGAGGGCTTTATTAAGCTTATATGAAGCAGCTTATCTTGGATTTCCTGATGAAGAAATATTAGATAAAGCTAAAAACTTTTCAAGGGTTCACTTGAAGTCATCCATTTACAACGTGGAGCCCTCTTTAGCTCTAATGGTGTCAAGTGCTTTGGACTTGCCATTGGTTAGAAGAACCGATCGACTCAAGGCTAGAAGCTACTTTGAAATATATGAGAATTATAACTTGTGCAATAAAAATCTAACAGAGTTTGCTAAATTTGATTTCAATTTATTGCAAACTATTCATCAAGAAGAAGTTCGAATCATATCAGTGTATGTTCATCTTTTCCTTAATCTTTGTCCTTCTAGTAGAGTTGGCATGTTTCTATGAAGTTCTAACAGATTACTAAACATTGAAATGTTTATTAATTAAATGGTTTTAGTTGGTGGAAAGAGTTATGCTTGCCCAAATACCTACCATTTGCACGTGATCGAGTAGTGGAAACATACTTTTGGATGCTTGCAGCTTACTCCGAACCATGCAATTCACACGCCAGAGTGATTAATGCAAAGATTACACCCCTTATTGTGGCAATTGATGATATCTATGACATTTACGGAACACCAGAGGAACTCGAGTTATTCACCAACATAATAGAATGGTAGAAAATAAAAATAAAAGCCCACCATCGTAATATATTAATTCAATGCATTCTGAAATAAAATCTTTTTAAATAAATAATTGCAGTTGGGACCTTGAAAGAGTTAGTATGTTGCCAGAATATATGCAACGATGCTTCCTTGCGCTACATGATACTTTGAAGGAAATTGAGGATGAGCTAGCACCTCAACACAAGTGTTTTCGTGTTTATTATCTTAAAGAAGAGGTAATAGGTGAAAATTTTCTATTAAGAGCACTCCTTTTTTTTTATCTCAGCATCATATTTTTCAGAAGAA